AATTCTGTCCAATGTACATTTGCCATTTGTCCGGCGTGTCTATGTGCTAATGTGTGGTTGGGTGTGTTTCATGCACAGGAACCTACAAGCTGAATGGCCTTGATGGGAAACTCTGCATCAAAGCGACCATGGGAGTGGAGTACATCGTCATCGAAAAGAAGGTTAGGGGTTGTGACCGGCTCAGCGCTCTGTGTGTGTGATTTTCTAGTATTTCAGCACTTTTTGCAGAATGTGTGTGTTTGTGTCAGCATCTCTTTGTGAGGTGTTACATGTTGGTTTCACTGTTCAAACTGTAGAAATCCAAAATGACCATCAGCTCTTTTTAAATGAACGACGTGTGCTGATTCAGCTGACATATTTGAGTGTTAATACGATCAAATCTTTGGCAAAAGTAAAAAATAAACAAATACAGAAGAATCTTGTCTCTTGATATAAAGTGATATTTCTCTCCTGTGTTTTCTGAAGACTTGGTATTTCAACCTGGACCCGTCCAGGGTCAGGACCAGCGGTTACTGTGGCAAAAAGGCTGCTGTTCTCTCTCTCACGCTGCCGAACAACGCTGCCAGTCTGCAGTTCAACTTCAGAAAAGTAGAAAGCACATTTAACTTACAACTCACATATTCATCTCTGTGTGAAGTTTGCGTGTTCTCCCACAGTCCAGAGTTAACCCTCATAGCATATCTTTCCTGTCTAGGGGAAACAACATATCACCATGTATCTCCAACTTCTTAAGTTAAATAAACTATTTGAAAACCCTCTTGGTTGAGATGGAAAATGCACAAAATTGAAAACAGGGCAGTTTTCCTGAGCTCATGCATGAAACGTTGACTTTTTAGAGATATGTGGTTCTCACAAGATATCAATGCTACACATGACGTTCTTATAGAATATTATGCATTGCTGTTGATTGAACTACCAAACAGTATACAGTATTTAAATCAGCTCAACTTTAAACAACTGCAGCAGTGTCTTTACTTACTGAATTAATTTTGCTGGTAATACTTATAAAGATCTGAATACTTCTTCCACCACTGCACACAGGTTAGGTAAACTGGCAACTGTTGTGACTGTTCAGAGACATTTAACTGCACATATTCCTGTAATGCACAAATAATCAGTTGTTCATAATAAACATCTGTCTTTTTATTAACACCCGCTCTAAAAGGAAAAATGTGAATGCAAATGACACATGTTTGCTTAAAGGTAGAATGTTACACAATTTAAATAATCGGCCTCTTACCAAACTGATTAAACTGGCAAGTTGGAGTTCAATGCAGAAAACACACAAAGATAAATCAGGAACAACTGCTCAGACACCAAAAGAAAAAGACCAAAAATTCAGATTTACCTTAAAGCACCCAGATTAGTGCACATGTGCAGTGTGATGAAATGTTTAGAAATGCAGCCATTGTGAAAACAATAGAGATGAGACATGTTGGGTTCCTTGTCGTTCTCTTGTAGTTGACAAGACTTATCTGCAAAGTCCAACAAAATTCATTGTTTGTTGAATTACAGTTTTAAGAAAATGTCTCTTTCAATTTAAGAAATATAATAATATACGTATTATTAACATAAAACTTATATATGTCACAGGAACATAAGCGTCAGTGAGTCTTCATATCTGGATCAAAACGTTCACAACAAATGATGAAATTGTGTTTGTTTACTTGGAAAAAGGTGTATCTGTTCATAATTCAGTGATTTCTGAATCACCCTTAAACTCTGTATTTTTGTCATCAGGAGAAGAAACTTTTCTACGTCACCAAGCTGACTGTTCATGTGTCTCCTCTGCCTGTCTGCCAAGGATGTGCCAGTAAGCCCACATAGAGGAAGAAAAAGAGAGAATAACACACAGCTGATCTGCAACAATAACCAGCAAACACTGAGAACTGTCTCCATCTCACATCCTCTTCCCTCTCAGATAAGACATACTTCGGTTTGCTGGACCACGAGAAGCTTTTCGCAACAGCTGACGGGCAGAGCTTCAACTGCAAATCTGAGAATCTGCTTCTGACGTCGTCGCAGCTGCGGATCAAGCTGGTTCCCCTGCAGATGCAGGCCTTCACTCTTCCCAAAGGACAGTATGGAAAAGGTGACTGAGCTGATCACTTAGGGTTCAGTGTTGCAGGGGTAAATTAAAGTCTGCTCCACAATTTTAAATGAGTGTGTAGTTTTATTTTTATTAACTATAACCATATGAGAGGCTGCTGAAACCTTAATGATTGTTTTGGGAAGTCTCAATTCTCATTTAAAAAGCAAATCAGCACAAATTGAAAAACATATAAATTCTCTTTATTGGACAGATTACTCACTTTGCCTTCAGATAAGCATAATGATTTTATCTGTGCTTCCTCTGTGGTGTTCAAAACACTTATAAATTATAATGAATGCCAGTTTTGTAGGGTTTTTTATGCATACAAATACTATATATTTTCTATAATTCTATATGTTTTTGGCTTGTTTCCGCAGCTGGATCACTGATAGATATAGTTCTGAGAGAATCTGTTAGCTTCAGCATTCATATAGGGAATCAAAAGCTGTGATAAATCCTTATTTCTAAAAACAGGAAGCTATAAAACAATGGTTGCAACCCATGCTTTTATATCAGGCTTTATTGTCTTTGAGTCTGAATCTGCTGCAGAACACAAAGTCTCCTGAAACCAAAGCTAATTGTTTAGTGAAGCTGATTACGCCATAAACAATGTCAGACAATTATAGCCTGGCTCTAAAAGCAGTGGAGCCATTTTATCTCTGCACTTCAGCTTAATAGCAACAGTATACCTGAGTGGATTAAGTGGTTAATGAAACACATAAACAAGATTAAAGTTACTGGTGTGTGTGCAAATTTAACCAAACCTACAAACATATTTTCTGATTCTGTATAAACTAATGACATGACACTTTAGACACCTCATATTTCTGCTTAAATCAAGTTCCATATTTGTCTTAAATCCTGATTATCCTTCCCCTTTCTGCCTTTTGCTCCTCCTGTCTCATGTTTCAGAGGTGGAGTGTTGGGCCGACTTCAACAAACGAATTATTCCCATCATCATCGGGGCCGTAGTGGTGACCCTCGTTCTGATCATTGGGCTGACCTGCCTGTTCATCAGAGACCGCAGCAGACAAGGATACGATCGGCTCTGAGCTCATCGTGAAGCTGGATGGAGATTTTAATCCATCTCAAACTATATTTCTGTTACTGTTACAAAAAGTTCTCAAAATTGCTCTGCTTAACTTGGATTTTAGCTCCTGTACTTGTGTCCTAATGTCATACTTCTTACTGTGAATGCAATGTTATTAGATTGATTTATATGACTATTTTGGTTTTGTTTTTGGTGTTTTTTTTTTTTTTCTAGCTTTCATTATTTTTGGAACCTGAATTTGCTTTTAATTTAACTTTCATTCTGCTTTCAGGGATCATTTGTGTTCACTGCTGTTTGCTGTATTGCTCTGTTTTGTTGCATATTCAACAGTTGTTTAATAAAAGGGCAAAAAACGAATTATATAAGCAATAAAAATGAGCCAGATTAATAGTTTTCTATGTTTATTATAGTGTTACTCCTCAACTGGCTGGGATACTGCAGAATGAACAGCACAGTTGTTGAACATCACACATCCTGATAATCAATGCAGAAGCCCTCCAGAGTAAACTGGAACCAGAGACGGCTGCACCAAAATATAGATTTGATTAACAATGCATGAGAAGGCCTAAACGCAGGCCATAACAAAGGAATCGTGAGATAAATTGGTTGGTTGATCAAACATCAAATAAACAAAAAGGAAATACACAATGTGAGGATACACTGCACCACCAGGGAGGCTAGTGTGGGGTTATATATCTATATCATCAAACCATCCAATTACTCCTCCAGTCCTGTATGAAAACATCTGCAGTTGTCATGTTTCTCCACTCATTCATTCATTCAGGTTTTCTCATTGAATTTGTCCCCCGACTGTCTCTATCGGTGACTACAGCTGTAGTGGCACATCTTGGTCACTAGAGAGCGCTGCTTGTTCACCAATGAATGAGTTGGGTTTCTGTCTAAAGATTGTTTGTTGTTTATTAAATAAGAATTTAAAAACATTTACAACATAAAAAATAGAAGAAAATAGAAGTAGTGAAATGAATATATAGCAGGTATATTTACATGGAGGTAATGCTGCCCCATAAGGTTTATTTAGCCCCACACAGAGATGAGATGTGGTTCTTTTGATATAAAGAAACCACAGATGTTTTCAAAAGAATATCTTTTTTTAATTTTTTTTATATTGTAATAGGATAGCATCCCATTATAAATAACCTACCTTAGAGTAATAGGATACAACAGACCATAGACACACCCTCCCTTTGATGTATTATTACATTTTAGTCTTTCTTTAGCCCTGACAATGAATCTGTTTCACTCCATGGATCATATTTATTTATAAATATATGTGTCTGTTTACTGTCAAGTGACATTAAATGTAAGTGTTTATGCTACAATCAATACTTTTATCCTTGTGATTTTTACACTATGATTATATATATAAGATTATAAACTTGAAATTATGGGACAACAGAAACCACAATGACAAAATAATAAAAAATGTAACTTGATTAAACTGATTGAACTTTAGAGAATCAGTTCCAGCCATAAAACACCACAAATTCCTGTTTTGGTTATTTTTTATCAGGCTACTGAATTAATTAATAACACCTGATAATAAATACAAAGAAAAAAACAATGTATATGTATGTATGTAATTTAAAAATATATATTTATTGTTTACAGTTGTTTTTTTTTTAAATCTAAAAACCACATATTATTATTTTTTAAACTCTCTTTTTATTGTATTATATTTATTTCTTTATTTATAGCTGAAAACATTTGACCACAACCAATAACAGTGTCTTTAGGGCCACGGTGGTGCAGGGGGCCCCTGGTTTTTTTGGGCGGCCCTGCTGACTCAGGCGGATGGAGAGAAGGAGGAGAAGAAGGAGGAGGAAGAGGAGGAGGAGGAGGAGGAGTGTGTTTGTCGGGCAGACAGTCAGTCAGGAGGACCGGAGTCCCAGCGGCAGTTTGGGAGAGTCTGAGCCGGGGAAACTGAGTCCACATACGGGGAGAAGTCATACGGGGGAATCCGCAATGAGTTGGGGAACGGAGCTCTGGGTACGTTAAAAAAAAACTCTGTTTCTGACCGACTTGTTTATATTGTGTTTGACTTTATGAATATATATTTATATATATATATTTAAAAAAAAGGTGGATGTGTTAACCTTGTTTAAAAAGAAAAAAAAAAAACGCTAACTGGCCGCCGGTTGCTAGGCTAGCGAGGCTAAAGCTAAAAGCTAACGTGCACCTTAACGGCTGTGACAGCGGCGGAACAATAGACGGAGTCCGCAGACAACCGGGGCGGAGGGGAGAGGGGAGGGCACGCCGCCTGGCTCCAGCCCCCTGAAATACATGTCAACTTAACATTATATCCGTGCTGTTTCTGGATTATTTTGTCCGTTGTTTAGTTTAAGTGAACCCGGGTTATCTTTTGTGTGTGTGTGTGTGTGTGTGTGTGTGTTTGTGTCACACCCTGTTTGGAAGAAGCTGGCAGGGACTCGAACATCCTCATATGAACCGAACCAGCCGGTATATATAATTCACCTCACAGCGTTTGTTTTTTGTTGTTGTTGTTGTTGTTGTCCGGTCTTTTCCTGGCTGTTACCAGGTGATATCTCAACACAAGTCAGTCATATTAGCTTTAAATGACTTAGTTAAGTCTCTGCTGCTGCTTTTTGATATGAGAGTGAGTTTATAAATCATTTTACACAACCCTCAATGTCTCAGATTGGTTATTATTGGCTCCACGATATGGTTAAAAACACCATATTTCGATTATTTTGACACATATTATGACCCCATTCAAATCACAGTCATGTGGGAGTTGTCATTTTTGTATTATAAGTTGAATTTACACTAACAAAAAAAACTATTAAATCATAATATTGTGAAATCCTCAAACAAAATATGTTTCCTTGAATCTGGAGAACAACATTTATAGGCCAGTGCTTCCCTACAGCACTACAGTACTATGGTACTTCATTATAATGCTGTTTTATCACAGGTTTAACCTTTTATTCAAATATTACAGGTCTCCCAATTTGGCATATAGCACTTGGCCATATTGCGATTTCAATAATATTTTGATTAATTGTGCAGTCCTGTAGTTATCATACTGTAGTTTAATAGTTTTTTTTTGCAGCAGAGGGTTAATTTATTGAATATTTGTTTGATTCCCAGAGTCCTAGCTGACAGTGTGGTGAGCTCCAGCCTGCATTTTTTATTTTTTTTTGGGGTGTTGGCCATCTCAAGCTGTTGTAACCAGAGAGGCAACCAGCAGCATCCCCTCTCTCTCCCTCTCTCCCTCTCTCTGTGTGTGTGTGTGTGTGTGTGTGTGTGTGTGGGTGGGTGGGTGCATATTGAATTGTGTGTGTGTGTGTGTGGGGGGTAGAAAGGAAGCGGTGCTGCTTCACGTCCCTGAGATGATACTCCTCCAGCTGACCTCAGTGGTTATTATCTGCAGTTTAATATAAGCTAATTTTTTGCTTGCTCAGCCCTCAAATGTAACATGACCATGCTGCTTACAGACAAAAGGGATACGTGTTTGCTTTGCTTGTGATGCAGAAAGCATCGTGAACATTTGCCAGGATATCAGTGGGTTTTTGGCTTTTTGTTTTGGCTTTTTTTGGATGTCTCATTCATGTTATTCATTCTGGTTTTCTTCCCTCCCCCCACGATGAGTACCAAGTATGGGACATAATCATCTGTGTCAGTTTGTGTTCTCAGTTAAACAGATGGAGAGACTGGCTGGAGGAGATATTTTTATTTTTTAGTGGTTTTCCCAAAGGTGTGAATGTGCTTTTTAGCTACTTTATTTATTAGAGAAATATTAGGTAACACTGTGGGTATCTATATTTTGCTACCGTTTGATTCAGTCGCATAAACATATAAGATGTAAGAGAGGTAATTCAAACATTGTTGGTATTCAAACTTCAAATTTACATTAAAAAAATGGCTAAAAAACATTTTAAAAAATGCCCATAACTCGCGATTTATGGTTTCAGCACGAGTCCTTCATATTGTTAATTGTGTGCAGAAATATATCTGTAAAAATATCAGATTTTTACACAGTTGTTTGAATGATTGGGGGTTTACATATTTCCTTCAGTTTGCCTGAAAGCAAGACTTTAGGTAAGCATTATTACAGTTTTCTCTGGTGCTCAATACAAAGTCTTAAACACCACAAGAAAAGTAACCTTGGGAGAGGAAAATCAGGATTACAGTGTGTCAAATGTCCAAGACTAGTAGTAGTAAATCCACCATCAGGAGTCCAATAAAATAAATCCCAAGGACTATATCGGTAATGGAAAATGATGAGCTGAAGTTTATAGTGGCGGGATATTCCTTTTACTCGCTCATTAAACCTGTTTCCTTCATCTCTGCGACATCTTTTCGCCGTAGCAAAGCAAAGCACGCCGTCATCTGCTGAGTGGAGAGACGCTGGCGGTCGGACGGGCCGTCATAATCCCCTGATGAGATTATTGTGTTGGCTGTCTGATGTCAGATTACAGATTATTGTCCACACGATAGGGATGTAACACTGTTGATTGGCTGTTGTGTTTCACAGATGACTGACTTGACTTATAAAAATTAAACATTGTTGTATAATTTTATATTCCAGTCTGTAGGTGCTGTTAATATGACTGCTGACAATTACTATTACAATTTGTTTCTTAATTAATCTGTTATTCATTTTGTTTTATAAAATGTTGAAAAAGGCCCTTTATAATTCCACGGAGCCCAAGGCAATGTTGGTCCAACAGCTTAACAACTGTCATATAAACCAATCTTCACATTAGAGAAGTTGAACCAGCTGTTTTGTGTTACTTTTGCTTTAAAAAAGATTGAAATTATTACAAAATTATCAAAATTGTTGTCGTCTGTTCATCGATTAATCCAGTGTTTACCAATCTTTGAGGATTTTTGAGCCCTTAAATGTCTACTTGCAACTCCTCAGTATTCATATCTCTTCTGGTAGTGACCGGTTCCAATAAAAAGCATTACTTTTCTGTATTTTAATTGAATAATGTTGAGAGGATTTGAAATATAGCAGCAATACATTTGTTTTTTTTAAACTTTCTTCTCCATCTGATTCAGTTTGTGACCCTCAGATCTTTTCTGGTGACCCCTTTTTGTTCACCAATGGACAAATCATTAGTAATTGTATCATGTCTAAGTCCCATAAATACAAAATACAAACAACAGTATATGAATAAAAAGCAATGTAGCACGCAGGGCAGCATTAGTATGTTCAGTGCCTTGGCTGTTTCTCTGCGTTTTGGCTCTAACCCAGGTCTTTGAGACATTACAAAGCAAGCAAGGAACATCCTATTACCGCGCTGGCTTCCTGCCCTCTCCGAGACACACACACACACACATAAAGTAGGAAGTGTTTGTCTGAATTAAAGCTCTGTGTGCGTTTGTGTGTGTGTGTGCGCTGAGGGCCAGGATGCTGCCATGCTGTGCTCTGGTCTGTCTGGTGGAGGTGGAGCGGCCAAGTCTGACTGAAGGACAAGAGGCTGACAGGCAGTCGTCTCTACTGATCGGCCAAACTGAAAGACAAGGATAAGGGCATGAAGGATGGAGAGGTAGAGGAAAGAGGACGGACTCTAAACGGCTGGCTAGACTCGTGATTTTACTTTGAAGTCTTTCAGCTGGTAAATGAGCAGGAGACTTTAGACCAATTGTGGAAACTCAGATTCAGAGCAGTGAGCAGGTTTTTACCCTCTTGCAGATCGAGGCGTCACAAGGGTTTGCTTTGCTTTTCTGTGTTTGTTGTGTGGATTTTGAAAAAGGCGTGCTACTGTGTTCCCTCAGGTGTCCTATGGGAGGTGTTGGGGTCCCGGGGTGATGTGTGAATCATTTGATATTTGGAGCGAGAGGATTGTTTGTGTTCTTTGGCATCAGGTGGCCATCAGACTCAGGCGAGGATGCTCGATATCCCCTCTCCTCTCCTCTGTGATATTTATAGACCGTAGCCGACGTATCAAGGTCTGTAGTGATTCCGGTTTACTGACCGTAGGGTATCATCTCTGCTGCTTTATGGAACCATCCTCTCAGATATGGATAGGAATTGGGCTGTATATTGATTATTGAAGATACATTTGCTGTGTTTTTGTTGGCAAAAGACGACACCACCTTAGGCTCCATATTAAAAGTGATCTTCATGTCCGTTCTGTATGTTCAAAAGAGTTTCCTGAAGGCTGAGCCAGTTGTAGTGGAAAATGGGGATTTTCTTAGGTTCATACAACTGTAAATACTTAAACCATGCAACCCTGAGCTCTGTAAGTGGACTGTTTTCACTATTTTATGACATTTGAAAAACAGTTAATTCTTTAGTATTGGTCAGGCTATACTCTCTGGTGTTGGCTCTGAAAGCATCCTTACATTTTTCATGGTCACCTTGACACCTTCCCAGTTGATATTCTTTGATAACTGATCATCTTTTCCATCGGAAAAGTCTTCAGTGCCCTTTCTTTGCTCTTCTTTCAATTAAGAAATACTCTCCAGTTCTGTTACAACTAATGCTAGCCGCATCTATGAATGCTTCGCTTTTACATTGGGATGCAGAGACAGCTCTGTGTGGTGGATGACAATACAGAGCGCTCAGAAAAAAGTGAGTCTTGGTCCACCGTTTGTGTTATCTTCTCTTTGGCTTGTGGATCTGTGGCCTTGGACGCTCTGATGAGAGGGTTCCTGTTGTTTAGTAGGCCAGTAGTCTGGTTCTTAGCAGGTCGCAGCGGGTGTGAATGAAGTCATGTTGGAGCTGAGGGCACTGGCCTGGACACGACAAGCTGTTATATCCAGTCTAGCCAAGCTTTTCAACACATTGTGTGTATGTGTAAGGGGGGGGTGTTCTTGTAGGTGTGAGTGAGAGAACATGTTGTTTTCAGCCCTGGATGTGTGACAGTAAGAATGCATGTCCTGCGTTTTAGGGTGGATGTCTTTCTTAATTAACAAAATTGTGCTAACACAAATCTTCAGGAGACAGGGAGGAAGATGGAGAGGGAAGAAGGAGGTGTGAGAGAAGGGAGGATGGGAGGAGAAGAAAGCCTATA